AAAAAAAAGAACCATAGCTTAAGCCTGTGACCCCAGCACTCGGGAGGCTGAGGTAGGAGGATTGCCATGGGTTAGAGGCCAGCCTGGGCTACAGAATGAGTTCCAGATCAGCCTGGGCTACAGACCCTGCGTCAGAGGGGGAAACCCTTTGCAGCCAGTGTTAGCCACCAGTGTCGTCGCTCTATTGTCACTGTGAGTTGTGCCTGTCTGTCCAGAGTCCTAGAAGAGCAGAGGACAGACATCCTCAATGCCAGGTCCTGGACCATCTTTCTGGGAAGGTTTCAATGGGAGCTCAGTCCCAGCCACCCTGTGTCTTCAGCGCACCTGCCAGCCCTGCGCCCTGTGCCTTGCTCACCCGCCTTCTCTCCTCCCCGCCTATTCTGAAACCAGCTTCCTTGCCCCGTTCCCTGCAGGTGGCCAGAATGGAGCTGGGGCCTGGGGCCTGGGCAGCTCTCCTCCTTCTGCTGCTCCTCCTGCTGTCCACCCTGTGGTTCTGCAGCCCCAGTGCCAAGTATTTCTTCAAGATGGCCTTCTACAATGGCTGGATCCTCTTCCTGGCTGTGCTCGCCATCCCTGTGTGTGCCGTACGAGGACGCAATGTTGAGAACATGAAGTAAGGGGTGAGGGGTGCTGAGAGCCCCCGAGTGAGAGGGAGTCGTGGGTTTGTATTGGAGGGACCGGTGTAGGCAAGAACCCAGAGACAAGGAAGCCGGGAGGTCAGTGAGGGAGGTGGGCACAGAGATGCAAGTGGACATCCATGGATCCCACTGGACCCCTTGCGGTTACCCCACAGGATCTTGCGTCTGATGCTACTCCACATCAAATACCTGTATGGGATCCGAGTGGAGGTGCGAGGGGCTCACCACTTCCCTCCCGTGCAGCCCTACGTTGTGGTCTCCAACCACCAGAGCTCCCTCGACCTGCTGGGTGAGGCCTTACCACAGGGCCCAGCCCTAGGGTGGTGCCTTCCCTCCTGGCCCCTTCCCCAACCCTGCTTCCCTGAAGGCCCTCCCCCTGCTCTGGGATGTTGCTCCTCCTCAGGCCTTCCCACATCTTCCCTTCTCACCAGTGCATCACCTGCGGGTTTCCCTTGCTTTCCCAGGCCTTTTTCAACCCACTTCTCTACTTTTCTGCTTTTCTCTCTAGTCAGTGTGGGTGGTGGCCTGGGGTGGGTGGGCAGCCTGCTGCAACACTGCTTGTACCCATACCCCATCCCTGCCCCTGCCAAGGGATGATGGAGGTGCTGCCGGGCCGCTGCGTGCCCATTGCCAAGCGGGAGCTACTGTGGGCCGGCTCGGCCGGGCTGGCCAGCTGGCTGGCAGGCGTCATCTTCATTGACCGGAAGCGCACCGGAGATGCCATCAGTGTCATGTCTGAGGTGGCCCAGACCCTGCTCACCCAGGATGTGAGTATCCTGAGATGGGGGTTTGGGGAGCCTGGGAGCATTGTAAATGACTGATGGTTAGACCAGGGCCTCCTGGCAGCAAGGAAGCTGCCCCACCCCCTCCATGTGTGTCTTCTTGATCTTTCCTCAGGTGAGAGTCTGGGTTTTTCCTGAAGGAACACGAAACCACAACGGCTCCATGCTGCCCTTCAAACGTGGCGCCTTTCACCTTGCAGTACAGGCCCAGGTGATCCCTGCTGCTTGCCCAGCGCCCAGCCCCACTCCTTCCTGTCCAGGACCTGTGGACCGACCTGCTTTGCCTTTCCAGGTTCCCATTGTCCCCATAGTCATGTCCTCCTATCAAGACTTCTACTGCAAGAAAGAGCGCCGCTTCACCTCGGGTGAGGGCTCTGAGTGGGAGTTGGGAGGGTATGGCCAGAAGCCAGGGCTGGGCTGGGGCTGCCCCTGTGAGGCAAGGGGCCCTTCAGGGCCAGAGCCTGGGTCCACACCATCATCAGGTTGACCACAGCAGGCAATGAATATGTCCTGAGCAGCCACTGGACATCGCCAGGTAGGTGGTGTCTGGCCTCTCCCAGAGGGGCCCTTAGTCTAGAAAGAAGATGAAGTTGGACCCTGCAAATCTGGAATCACGGTGACGGGTGCTGACCCCAGGCTGGAATCGTGGGGAGAGGGGACTGGACTTCATTCAGTTTGGGGAAATTCGTCTGCAGCTGGAGAGCAGAGGGTGGGTCGTCCTGGTTTAGGGAAGCGTCCCGAAGGGCAAAGGAGAGGGGCAGCAGGATTACACTGGAGTTGGCAGTGATCTTCAGGGGCAGGCAGTGATGTTGTTCCTCATCCCACCAGGACGATGTCAGGTGCGGGTGCTGCCCCCAGTGCCCACAGAAGGGCTGACACCAGACGATGTCCCAGCTCTGGCAGACAGAGTCCGGCACTCCATGCTCACCATCTTCCAGGAGATCTCCACCAATGGCCTGGGTGGAGGTGACTGTCTGAAGAAGCCTTGGGGGGTGGGCGAGGCCAGGCTCTGAGCTCCTCCCCCCTCTTCCTCCCAACCCAGTGGTCCTGAAGCAGGCCCTCCTCCTGGTCCCCCCCCCCACTCTCCTTTTGGAATCTTCACCTTCTGAAGAGAATGTGGAATCGTCACTCCTTGTCCTTGCCCTGCCCCATCATGGACTCTCCTGCCTGGGTGCAGTCTCCACTCCAGTTCCCACCTGCCATCTTGTCTTTGGGACAGTTGCCCCCTCATCTCAAATGGCTTGTCTGACACAATGGTGGGGGCTGTCCCATCCCCTCCCCAGTGGGCTCTTCCCTTGCAGTCTTCTCTCCCTCTCCACCCCACACTGGACAGTGGACTTATCCGTTCCATGGAACAATCCACTTCCCTACCCCAAGTCCACTGATACAGTGGGCACATCCGTTGGTGAGGACTCCTCACCCTGTGGCTGGAAACTGAACTCAAAACTCCTGGGCTCACCTGAGGAGATCCTCAGCACCTTCACCTGTCCCCCAGGGCCACCTCAGCAGGGCTAGACTCTTGTAACTCACAGGTCTCATCCCTGTCTTGCTCAGGGGCCTAGGGTTGAGCACACTCCAGATGCCAATTTCTGCTTCCCCTATCCTGGGGGTACAGGTCTTTAGGGTCCTGACCCCTCCTGGACCATCAAAGCAACAGGGAGAAGCTGACCAGATGAGCTCCTCTTGCTGCTCCCGTGGACCTTGGGGAAAGGCGCCCCGACTCCAGCTAGAGGGAGAGGAGGGCACTTCTTTGGCGGTACCTCCCTCTCTGAGCCAATTTTCATTTCTTCCCAGTGGCATTGTCTGCCCCCTGCCTCCCACCCCAGACCCATTCCGACGACCCGTGAGGTGGGCTGGGAGCAGAAGGAAAGGGTAGGACCCAGTTTTGTGTGGTTGGTTTTTATTAGTTAATCTGGATAACAGCAAGCAACTGAGAATAAAGAGAAAGAGAGAAGTGGGTGTCTGGGGTTGTTCCTTGGCGGCTGTGGCTGGATCTACCGATCCGGGAGGATTAATAGGTTCAGTTCCATAAATTAAGGGCAGCGTGCTGCAGAGGTTCCTTCTCAACGATGGAGAACCTGGCCCAGGCTGTTGTCCTCACAAGCACCTGGTTAAAGCAAGGAGAGGCAAACCAGGTGACGAGGTCTGGGGGTTCCCTAGCAGGAGGGAGGAATCCGGCGGCTCACCGGGGCAGGTGGGGCTACTGGTTCGGGGTGGGGGCAGGGCCCCAGGAATTAAGGGTAGTAAAATGGGGGCCATCAGGAAGGTTTGGGGATGGGTTTCTGAAAGGAAGTGCCGAGTAGAGGTGAGGTCATAAGTTGTGGGAGGAGCAAAACTCACAGGCGCCGAGCCTTTCCTCCAGCAGCAGCACCTGGTCACTGAGGGACTCGATCCTGTCAGCCCGGCCCCACAGCTCAGCCACCTGTTCCGGCTGCAGCTCTTCCGGCGGCATGGGCAGCATGGCTCGAACCCAGGCGCCGGCCTGTGCGGCCCACTGCAGGGAAAGCGAGGCGTGAGGATGCTGGCCAGGAGCGGCGCGCGCGCGGGCTCGGGCGGCACAGCCAAGAGACCAGCCGGGCTTAGCCGGGCACATCTGCTCGCCTGCTCCAGCCGCTCCAGGCGCCCACGCAGCTCTGCCACCTCCAGCCGCAGGACCCGCTGCTCCGGTTCCGCCTCCCGAACTGGTACAAAGACCTGAGCGTGAGCTGAGTGCTGCCCGGAACCGCGGAGGCCATGGAGGCCGTGGAGGCCGGGCTTCCCCCCAGCCCCCGCCCCTACCCACTCGCCACGCTGAGAACGCCCGCCCGGGTCGGGGTTGGCGGGGACCCCTCCTCGCAGGCGCGGCCGTCGGGACCCAGCAGCAGGGGGTGCGGACAGCTGCAACTGAAGCTGCCCCGGGTGTTGACGCAACTGTGAGAGCAGAGGGTCGGGCTGGCCCGGCATTCATCCACGTCTAGATACAGAAAGCGGGGTGGGGGCTGGGGGTGAGGCCAGGGACGGGGTGGCCCTGCACCCCCACTGTCGGGGTCGGGGGGAGGGGGGCAGCTCACCCAGGTGGCAGTACTTCCCCCCCCAGCCAGGGGCGCACTCGCACTGGTCCGGACCGGCACATGCACCTCCGTTAAGACAAGGCTTGGAGCAGATAGCTGAGCAGCATTTGAGGGGAGAGAAGTCAGAACCCGACCCCGTGCCCTGCTTGATTATCCCCCCCGGGAGGCCTGAGGCCCCAGCCTCACCTTCACAGGTGAGCGCCCCTGGATGTCGCTTCCTCCAGCCCTGGCAGCACACAGCATGGGTCTGCTGCACCTCCCGCCTCACCTCCCGCCAGGCCACACGATAAGTGGTCCTAGAATACAGCGCCAGACTCAGGATCTGGGCACAGGTCCCTTGGACAGAACCCCCACACACACCGTACCCCACCCCTAAGTCCCAGAGCCACACCCCTCTCTCACCTGTAGGTGCTGCAGATGCGCTTTCCAGTGCACAGGGTCAGGTAGGGCTTGTACACGGGTTGACTGTAGGACTCATTGTAGCGGAGAGGGACCACCAGGGTCTGCTTGGAGCAGACCCCCTGACTGATTCCATGCCACAGGAAGGAATGGGAGCTGTTGAGTGTGGCAGGCCCTCCCGAGCCCTGAATCCCACTTCCTTCAAGGCCCTGTGTGCTCTGGAAACCACAGTCTCTCACCCTCCTTCTAAACTTGGGATTTGGGAGTGCTTCCTGGGAAGCCCCACCCCAGTAAAAGCCTCACCCTGGCCCTCACCCCATTTGCTGTCACCTCTCTTTGAAGGATCCACCTTTGGCCCCCTCTCCTGAGGTCAGTAGCAGAAGGAGTGACAGTCCGCTTAGAGAAGCACACAGCTCAGCCCTGGACCCCATGGTTCTTGCAGACCCTGTGCACGGCAGACAGGCAAGGAGTTACTGGAGGCCCTATCTTGCTGGCTTCTCCAGCCATGGCCCTGCTGAAGCTATCTGCTGGTACCAGGAGGGCCAAGACACTCACTTTTATATGCAAGCCACAGGGGGTCTACACCTGTGTGTACATTCCACTGGCCATGTTCATGAATAATCCAACCTTATCCAGGCTATCCACCCCCACTCCCAGTGCTCAACCTGGGGAACATGCTTATGGCCAACCCTGCCACACAACCCTTTTCAGCATGTCCTCATAACTTCATCTTCAAAACCTAAGGCATAATCTAGGCTGGCCCCTGCCTTTAATCCCAGCACTCAGGAAGCAGAGGCAGGCATTTCTTTGTGAGATGGAGGCCAGCCTGATCTACATAGTTGAGTTCCAGGCCAGCTGTGGCTACAAGGAGACCCTATCTCAAAAAGACAAAAAAAAAAAAAAATCATTATTAACAAAATAAAAACAAAAATGAAAAAATACAGGCATGGTGGCGCATGCCTTTAATCCCAGCTCTCAGGAGGCAGAGACAGGTGGAGCTCTGTGAGATCAAGGCCAGCCTGGTCTACATAGTGATTTCCAGGTCAGCTGGGGCTACAGGAAGACCCTGTCTCAAAAAGATCAAAAAACAAAAAACCTTAGACAGACACCCTGTACCTTACACACAAACCCAAGCATCTTAAACACATTTCTTCCTCTCCCATGCTATCACATTTACCCCAGACACACACCCTTCACTCAGACACAAGCCCCAACTCATACCCACTCTAAGGTCAAATGATCCCCATTCTTTCCTCATTGACTAGCTCTCTCTCTTCACCTGTTCCCTCTCCCCTCATCCCCACCTTGCTTCCCCTCAGTCCAAGGAGACTTCAGCAACTCCAGCCTCAGCAGCAGCTCAGACTAGTTGGTGGACCTACCAGGCTGGGAAGGAACAGAGGGGCTGGGCCAGACATAGGCCTCCCAGTCCTGCCCCTCCCACAAGCTCCTCCTCAGGCTGACTCAGGAGTCAGGTCCCACTCTCCTCACCCCCTCTCCAGCCAAGCACATCCTAGAAGAACCCACCCAACCTTTAGAGCTCCCCCCACCCAAATCAACAGACACTCATGGCTCTAATAGCAACCAGCACCCCACCCTCCTTCAACCTAACACAAACTGTGGGAGAAGTGGGGGACAGGGAGAAAGTCTACACAGGCGGGAAACTAAGCAAGGGCCAGGTCGTGGCAGAAGAGGCGAGATTAGCTGAGATAAAAAAAAAAAAAAAAAAAAAAAAAAAAAACAGTTGAATCGGCACAAAAGGGCAGGGGGCAGCCCAAGGCACCAAGGGAAAACTGTCTCCATCTCCTGATGGCATTTGTTAGGGCTTGGGGGGCACAGAGTTGAGTCAGCTACCGCCCCCCAAGCCAGAGCAGACAGGGCCCTATTGTCTCAGCCAAAATTCCTTCTTTCGGGCAAAAGGAGTTCATTGTACAGCCCCTCACCCAGCTCTGGCCTACAAAGGTCGAGAAGGGGCGCAGCACATGCCCACCCTGACCCTCAGCCCCCACGTCTAGGCTGGGGGTGACAGGACAGTTCCACCCATGAAGCTGAGGCCTAAACCACCAGAGCCTGGGGCTCAGCCCCCTAATCCTAGGCTGGGACAGGAAGAGAATTGTCTCCAGCAGGAAAGAACCCACAGAGAACCAGGAACCCACACAGAATGGGCATTGAGAGGACGGAAACACTACGGGGGTCCCCACCCCAGACCAGGCATCCGGGTACCCAGGTCCCAGGCTCTCCATCCCCACCCTCATAGGGGAGCCCAGGTCCCCTTCACCTGGAAATGAACCAAGCCACGTTGGGGGAATGGAACTTTTATTTCCATAAATACAAGGAACACCCATTCAAGGGTAGTTAAAAGAGGGGCTGGGGCCTCAAAACTAGGCTCCCAAGGGATACCCCAAACACTGATCATAGGGACTGGGGGAATCCCCAAACCTGAGATGGGCCTTGAAGGCCACAGATATTCCCCAACACTGACACTTCAGAAATGGAATTGTCCCCATAGGGGAGCCTCAGAACCCCACTCATGGGTGCCCCTCTTGGGGGCGAAGGGTTCCGACAGGGAGCTTGAGGAGGGAACACGGGAGAACAGAAGCTAAAAATGTCCTGAGTGGCCTGGAAGGAGACCCCTGTGGTGGGCAGGGGCTGGGTCCTCCTCCGGTACAGCCGGACCCGGAGGGGCAGCAGCAGCAGCACAGAAGCCAGAGTCCAAAACCTGGTGCTCACTTCTGAACCTCAGCCTTGGAACATGAGGTAGGGGACCAGGACCTGTCATTCATGAAGGAGCAGAGAAGATGGGGTTCCGGGAGCCCTGGTTGGTGGAGGGCAGTGTGGGAGCGATGAGGTGGTCACGGGCATGCCAGAGTCTGGCACCTGCTTTCCAAGGCCACCACTTGGTCTCTGGGCTGGGGAATTCCTGACAACCCCTGAGGACTTCAGGAGAGCCAAGGTTCAATGCAAGTCTCGTAGAGGGTGCGGTTAGAATGCCAGGTGGTGTGGGAGATCCCAGCCATGGGACACCTCACTATGGCTCCCCGGGCCAAGAGGGTCTTCAATCCAAAAGAATCTCGCAGATACACCTTTGAGGTAGGCAGAGGGGCATGGAAGCGTGAAAGAAAAAACAAAGTGAGTTACTGCTGCTGGCCTGACCCTTCCCAGCCCAGAAGGCAGACTCTTATGAGTCTCAGGGGTCAGCAAGGGAAAGCTCTAGAATGAAGTGGGGCACTGGATGGAGAAGGAAAGTCATTCCAAGGGGCTTACCGGTTGCTCCTCCATCTCCAAGACTGTCTCATTGGCGTCATAGAAACCAAAGAAGCTAAAAAGAAATTCGAAACAGGTTACCAGGAGAGCCAAGAAAGAGATTAAAGTGGGTTAGCATCCTACAGGGACTTCCAGCCCCCTTAGGGAGAAGGGAGCAGGGAGGACACATGAGAGCTAAAGGCATACGAGGATCAGGAATTCAAGGCCAGCTTCAACTACATAGCAAGTCCAAAGCCAGATTGGGCTACAAAAGACCCTGTCTCAAACAAAGCAAAAAAGAAACTCAGTAGAGATCATGTGCCTCAGGAGGTAACATACAGAGGATCCAGCCACACCACTCGTGAGTTCCCATCAAAAACCACTTGGCCTGGGGCTGAAGATGGCTCAGCAGCTAAGCGCACTGCACTGGCAGCTCTTGCAGAGTTCCTGGGTTGGGTTCCCAGTACCAACATGACAACTAACAATTGACCATAACTCCAGCTCCCGGGGATGTTGCCCTCTTCTGGCCCCTGTAGACATTGCATGCATGGGTACACTTCAATACATGCAGGAACAACACTGGCATATATAAATTTTGTGTGTGTGTGTGTGTTTTGAGACAAGGTCTCCCTGTAGTCCCAGCTGGACTGGAACTCACTATGTAGACCAGGCTGGCCTTGAACTCACAGAGATCCGCCTGCCTCTGCCTCCCAAGCGCTGGGATTAAAGGCGTGCGCCGCCACCCACCTTTTTGGCATACATAAAATTTTTTAAAAAGTAAAAACAGAAAAGGGCTTAGGATATATCTTAGTAGTATCGAGCTTGCCTACCATATACAAGCACCTTCAATCCCCAGTACTGGAAATAAATTAGTACAAGGTCCCACTGTGCAGCTTAGGTTGGTCTTGAACTCAAGATCCTCCTGCCTCAGCCCTCTGAGTGCTGAGATTATAGGGCATGTGGTACCATATCCAGCTTAATTCCTTTTTCTATTTTTTTCTTTCTGGCTTAATTTTTTCAATTTAATTATTTTGTACGTGTTTGTGTGTTGCACACACGCGCGCACCTACATACCATGGCATGCATGTGGCGGTCAGAGGACTACCTTTTGGATCAGGGTTTCTCTTTTCACTTTTTTTCCTGGTCTGTCTGAGACAGGGTCTCCATATAGCCCCGGCCAGCCTGGAACTCACAGGGATCTGCCTGCCTCTGACCTGATCCCACCTTTACATGGGTTCCAGGAACCAAACTGGAGTTGCTAGCTTGTGAAACAACCATGTCTTCTCAACCATCTCACTGGCCAAAAGAAACTGTTTTACATGGGTGAGTGTCATGCCTGCATGTGTGTAAGTGTGTGCGATGCCTGCAAAGGCCAGAAAAGGTAACTGGATTCTCTAGAATTGGAGTTACAGACAGTTATTAGTTGTCACATGGGTGCTGGGAACAGACAGAACCCAGGTCCTTTACAAGAGCAGCCAGTGCTCTTACCACTGAGCCATTTTTAACTAAAGAGTATGACAGAGCCAGGTGTAATAATAATAAACTTTTTTGGTCTCTTTTGAGACAGGGTCTCCCTGTCGCCCCAGCTGGCTTGGAACTCACTATGTAGACCAGGCTGGCCTTGAACTCACAGAGATCCGCCTGCCTCTGCCTCCCAAGTGCTGGGTTTAAAGGCATGTGCCACCTCGCCCAGCAAAATAAAATCTTTAAATAAATACATCCTTAAAAAGGAGAGGGCTTTAAATAGTACCTTGGGGTGTACCAAATGCTATTTAATCATGAACAATATGACATTCATAGAGTTGTTGTACATGTGGAATGAGATTGTGTGTGTGTGTGTGTGTGTGTGTGTGTGTGTGTGTGTGTGGCCAGATCTACTGTGGCACTACTTTAATATCGTAAGGATGCCACTCTTATCAACATCTTCCAACACCTCACTTGGATTTAAAAAAAAAAAAAAAAAAGGCATTGGTTTTCGAGGACCGGGAGGGAGGAAGAGTTACTGATTAACGGGTATGGAGTAATTGATTTAGGGGGGATTTAAGGGGAAAAGTTCTGAAGAGGGATACTTGTAATGGTTACCTAAGTGTAAATGCACCTAATGCCACAAAACTGTGCACTTAGAAGTGTAACTTTTATCTGTCTGTCTATCACCTGGTGCTGAAGATCAAACCCAAGGTGTCATACACACTAGCCAAGTACTCTACTGACCTACACCTTCCCAACTCACTGTTCCCCATCCACCTATATGTAGACCAGGCTGGCCTCAAACTCATCTCTGCCTGACTCTGCCTCCTCGGTTCTGGGATTAAAGGCTTGCACCACCAAGCCTTTATTGATTATTATTGAGACCTAGTCTCACTGGTAGCCCAGGCTGGCCTTGAACTCAAGATCCTTCTGCCTCCACCTCTAAGTTACTGGGATTACAACTGTGTTCTACTATGCTTAGCTATGGTTTATTACAATCAAAAGGAAAGAGCTTACGGGCCTGACTACGGCCTCCAAGGGCTCAGCATAAGGGGTCCCTTGTACTTTGTTCACCTCCTTTCTCACTGACTGTCCTTCCCCCTTTGCTTGGTCTTCCCCCACACTGTAACACCTTCCCTGACTTCCTTCAGGCTTGCTCAGATGAAAGCTCTTTTGAGAACACTTCCCTGCTGAGCAGGGTGGTGCACACCTTTGTCCCAGCACTCAGGAGGCAGAGACAAGCAGATCTCTTGTGAGATGGAGGCCAGCCTGGTCTACATGGCAAGTTCGAGACCAGTCAGGGCTATACAGTGAGACCCTGTCTCACAGAAACAAACACTTCCCTGTCTACTAGCTGAAATAAGCCCTGGTATCCTCTGATACCTCTCTACCTTCTTTTTCTGCTACCTGACATCCGTATTTCTAATTCATTCCCTTCTGCAGAAGCCAGAGAGCACCAGGGACCTCTCTTTTATTTACTGCTGCATCCCCGGGGCCCAGAACAGCACCTGGGCACAGTGTTCAATAAATATTTGTTGAGGAAGGCAGATCAGGTGACATTTCAAATCACTCATAAGGACACACAACAGAGCCAATCAGACAGTGCTAGGAAGCCATGATCTTAGGTAAGGAAGGAACAGGGCAGAGGCTGACACAGAGGTCAGGTAAGAAATGGTAGGAAGGGCTGGAGAGATGACTCAGCGGTTAGGAGCACTGGCTGTTCTTGTAGAGGACCCAAGTTCAATTCCCAGCACCCACATGGCAGCTAACAACTGTCATCCAGTTCCAGTTCTGACCTCCACGGGCACTCAAGTTCACTCATAAAACCAAATAATAAATAAGCCGGGCATGGTGGCGCACACCTTTAATCCCAGCACTTGGGAGGCAGAGGCAGGCGGTTCTCTGTGAGTTCTAGGCCAGCCTGGTCTACATAGTGAGTTCCAGGCCAGCTGGGGCTACAGAGACCCTGTCTCCAAAAGAATTTAAAAAAAAATAGTAATAATAAATAAAAATTTTAAAAAGGAATGGTAGGAAATAATGGAATGACAAGAGACCTCACACACTGTAATGATGCCAGTTTCCTGATTTGGGGGGCATTTTTTTGTTGTTGTTCCAGGGTCTCACTACATATCCCTAGCCTGGAACTCGCTATGTAGACCAGGCTAGCCTTGAACTCAGAGATCTACCTGCCTCTGCCTCCCAAGTGCTACCACACATTGCTCTGATTTTTGTTTTAAAGATTTATTTATTTTCATGTTATGTATTTAAGTACTTTGCCTATATGTATGTAAGTACCACCTACGCCCACGGAAGCAAGACGGTGTCAGAGCTCCTGGAACTGGAGTTATGGTTCATAGCCGCCATGTGGGTGCTGGAAGCCTGGTCCTCTGCAAGAGCAGCGAGTGCTCTTCACTGCTGAGCCATCTCTGCCCAGCTCCCCTTTTTTGGACAGAATCTTACTATGTAGCCCTGGCTAGCCTGGAATTCGCTAGGTAGACTAGCCCTGCCTCTACCTCTGCCCAAGTTGGCCTCAAACTCACAAAGTAGCCTAAGGATGACCTTGAACTTCTGCTCCTCCTGCCTCTACCTCCTGAGTGCTGGGAAGCCTGTGTCACCACACCTGTTTAGGGGTGCTGGGTAATACAGGGCTTTGTGCATGCTTAGACATGTTCTCCACCAGCTGAGCCTCATCTCCATCCCCAAAATTTAAAAAAAAAAAAAATTTCTTTTTTTTCCTTTTTTGGTCTTTTTGAGACAGGGTTTCCCGATAGCCCCAGTTGTCCTGGAACTCACTATGTAGACCAGACTGGCCTCGAACTCACAACAATCCACCTGTCTCTGCCTCCCAAGTGCTGGATTAAAGGCAAGCACCACCACGCCTGGCTAAAAGATTTTTTAAAATACCATTTTGTTGTTTGTGCTGTTTGTCTGTTTTTGTTTTATGAAACAGGGTCTCACTATGTAGACCAGGCTGGTCTCCAACTCACAGAGATCCGCCTACCTCTACCTCCCAGAGTGCTGGGAGGTTTTTATGTTTTGTTAAAACAGTCTCATTATATGTCACCAAGACTCTTCCTCAACTCCTGGCCTCAAGTGATCTTCCTATCTCAGACTCAAAAGTTTCTACAAGGATCAAATATGCACCTCAGAAGTAGAACACTTGCCTAGCATGAGTAAGGCTCTAGGTTTGATCGCTAAAACTGCCAAAAGTAAGAGACTTTAGACTGGTGGTGTAGGCCTATAATCCTAGCACTTGAGAGGGAGAGGCAGGAAGATCACAAGTTGAAGCCAGCCTGGGCTGCATCCCACGACTCTGTTTTTTTCCAAAACAGCTATAAAGCCCGGCTGGTAGAAATGGAAAGGGAGAGTCCACAGGTCTTAGGGACTGAGAGATACAGGGCCTGGGGTAAGAGTCCAGCTTTTGCTCTGAGTAACAGTGACACAAATAGCAGGTGTTGGGACACTAGCCAAACAGTTAGAGGAACAGGACAGTTTCAGGAAAGAAAGACTGGTGGGGGTTGGAGGATGCCTTTAGCCAGGCTTCAGCTAAACACACCCCTTGTTACCTGGACTGCCAAGGAGTGATGACTCCATCATCAGGGCCCCCAATCAGCACCAAGCGGCCCACGCGGAGAAAGTTCTTCCTCCATGCTGCAGTGAGGTGCAGAGAGATGGAGTCAGCCATAGAGGTCGGGCCGGCTTGGAGAGAAGCAGAAGGGCAGGGCAAGGCTCTTACCAGTGGCATTGGGGTGGTCTCTTTCTCCATTGATCAGGGCCAGGAAGCTGCTGGCATTGAGGTACAAGTCGTCATGGTGGGGATCTGAGGACAAACAGCAGTTAGGAAGTCAGGGGCTAAGGATGTAGCTCTGTTGGCAAAGTACTTACCTAGCATGCCCAAGACCCTGGGTTTGGCCCCCAGCAACTGGGTGAGGTTGAGGTAGGGGCAGGTGGATTTCGGTGAGTTCAGGGAAAGCCTGGTCTACATAGCAAGTTACAAGCCAGAGCCTGTCTCAAAGCAAACCAACAAACAACAAAGGAAGTATATTACATTCATTAATTCACTTAATCCTTACAATTGCCTTATGAGGCATATGCTGTATTACTTTACAGATAAGGAAACTGAGTCCCAGGAAGGCTAAGTAACCTGCCCAAGGTTACCCAACAAGGTCAGGCTTCAAGCCCTGCTGTCAGCATCCACAGTCTTAACATACTATCCTAGAGGTTGGACCACTAGGGCTAATGCACCAAATCCCACTTGCTACTCATTTTTGCAAATAAAGTCTTATTGGAACACAGACACTCGTTTATTTACATATGACCTATGACTTGCACTGTGACAGCAGAACTAAGGAGTTATGAGCAAGGATGTAAGCCAATATTTACCACCTGACCCTTGACAAGAAAACTTTGCATCAGCAGGGCATGGCAGTGCACACCTTTAATCCCAGCACTCTGGAGGCAGAGGTAGGTGATCATCTGTGAGTTTGAAGCCAGCCTGGTCTAGTGAGTTCCTGTCTCAAAATAACCCCCACCCCAAAACAAACAAACAAAAAACAAGAAAAACTTTGCAACATCAAATAAATAAGTGGCTCAGCAGGTAAAGGCACCATTTGCATTTTGCTCAAGTCTGATGACCTGAGTTTGATCCCTGGGATCCACATGGTGGATCGAACACTCAAAGGTTATCTTCTGACCTCCACTTTCATGACATAGCATGTATGCACATAGAGACACAATAATAATAAATAAAAAATTTTGGTCTTTTTTGAGACAGGGTCTCCCTGTAGCCTCAGCTGTCCTGGAACTGCTGTGTAGACCAGGCTGGCCTGGAACTTACAGAGATTAGCTTGCCTCTGCATCCCGAGTGCTGGGATTAAACGTGTATGCCACTGCACCTGGCATAAAATTTTTAAAAGAAAAATTTGGTTTCAGACTACATACTCTCAGAGGTAGCGGGGTGGCCTACGTAAAGCATTTGGAACAGCGCCTGTTCAAATAGTAAGTGCTCAATAAATGAAGTTACTACTTTGTTATGGTAGAAGTGTGAGTGGCAGACCCCACCCTCCACAGTACCCTGTCCATGGAGGCCCGTGCAGCACCCCCACTCACCATGCCAGTAGTTACAGATAGAGAATTCCTGGCCCCAAGGACTGTAGCAGATCCGGTAGAGGTTAGATCGCATGGAGGTGGGAAACAGCCACTTCAAATAGTCTGTGTCTGAGAAGAGAACAGCGGTGCCAAGTGGCCACCAACCTCTGTGCCCCTCTATACCTGGGGCCTTCAACGGACCCCACAGTGCCCACTTACCGCCATACTGTCCCATCTGTGGAGAAGAGAGGGAGATGAAAGAATCCACATTATGCTCATCCATGACAGAGAGCAGAGCACGGCACACCAGGCCCCCTGTAGACAGAGCACCAACGTAGGAAGAGGCCTTAGAACAGCCCTGCCACCCCCCAACAATGAACATAAAGGAACCTGGGCATAAAGAACACAGACACACCCTGTGCCAATGGGTTGCATGTCGTGTGATAGACATACTAAGAGTCCTGACTAACTCTGAAATTCTTTGAACTGCTTCCTTCCTAAGTCCTTAGAACCAAGAGCTATGGATATGGAGGACAGAAGGGGGCAGCAGGGTAGGCAGCCTCCCTCCCATTCAGGAAGATCCAGGTGCTGAGGGAAGCCAGAGAAGAGGGACACAGTTCCCAGGGCACTGGCTGGCGCAATGCAGTTCAGAGAAGGAGACAGATATGAACTCTGTCTTAGATAAGTCAAGCTCGGCAGGGCTTAGGAGCTGGGAAGGAGTGCTGCCTACCCTGGGAGTAACAGATGAGATGCACTCCTTCAGGGGCCTTTTTCATGATGGGGACCACAGCCTCCTGGAAGCCTTGCACCTGTTCCCACAGGGGCCGCAAACTCTCTCTGCCATCGAAGAGATCAAGCACTGTCACCACAGTTCCGGGGTGTGTCTGTGGGAAGGGGGCAATGCAACCACTGGGGATGGACCATGGAGCCCAAGTGCATTCACAGGATGTTGTGCTTGCTGGAAACCAAGAACCCGGCCCCCCAAATGTCTCCATGCTGGTAGCAGTGAGTACCCCGGGGAACAGACTTGGAAGGGTAGGCTGCCCACACTTCCTCCCCAGCCTCTGCGGATGCTTCCAACACCCTCCACAGGGTGTCCCCCCAACCCCCACCCCGTTCTTCCCTCCCCCACCTCGTTAATGTAGTCCAGCAGGTGGCGAAAGCTGTATGAACTGTCAAAGAGCCCGTGCACCACAATCACTGGCTTGTAGGACCCGTGGTGGGCTGCAGGGGCGGAGGGCAGCAGCAGCAGCAGCGGCAGCAGGGGCAAGATCCACGAGGAGAGGAGCGTCTGCCTCCATAGCCCCAGCATGCTCCCACCTGAGAAGGGGGAATGAGGGACCGTGAAGGGAGGGCCACTGCACCCCTTCCCTCGGAGCAGACACCAGGCAATCAGCCCTCCGGCTCCAGCTCCCACAACAGGTCACAAAACAGACTACTTTTAGCCGGGCGTGGTGGCACAGGCGTGGAGGCAGAGGCAGACGGATCTCTGTGAGTTCAAGGCCAGCCTAGTCTACATAGCCAGCTGGAGCGACAGGGAGACCCTGTCTCAAAAAAGACAAAAATAAAAATAAACCAGCCCACTTTCAACCTAACCCCAGTCGCTCCCACAACCCCCACCCCCGCGCGCGCGCCACTCTCTGGACGCACCAACGCTCACCCGAAGTCCCGCCCCCAACATGGTGCTCTGGGGACTCGGTCCCTAGGCCCAAGATCGTTCTTAAGCATCATCTCGGCCATGCACAACTCGGGGTTCTGCAGCACCCCAGGTGCCACCCGCCCCGGAGAGTGGAAACTCCCACCTGGCCTGGAGGCCTCGCTCCGCCCGCTGTTTACGTCTCCCCAGTCGGGAGTAGGGGAGGGAACAGGGTACCCAAAGAGCGCGCAGGGGAATGACGGATTGAGGGGTAGGGGAGGAGGGCTTCTCGGGGTCGCGCAGAGCCGTCACGTCCGGGGCTTTCCCTGGCAACTGTGCGACCGTCCCCGGCAACGCGGCCCAGGGACCGGAGGGGCAATGGAACGTTCCATTGCGTCCCAGGAGCTGGGGTGGAACGAGGCGGAGTGATCCATTCGAGCAGAGGGGGGAGAAACGCCAGGGTATCCTGGGAAGGTGGGGCACCTAAGGAAGGTTTCCGCTGCATCCAGCCACCCCCAGGGTGCGACTTCCCCTCCCTGGTCGGCCCACTTTCCAACCCAAGCTGCGCAGCACAACCCTTAGTGCTCATTCCCCGGGGAGATAGGGGTAGGACTAAGGGAAAGGCGGTCTCGACCTTTTGCCGGACGGCCGGGTGAGTGACAGGCGAGTGCGCAGGGGCCGAGGGCAGCTGGAGCGCCCCTCTGCCCCGCATCCCCCCTCACCCCTCTCCCTGGGTCAGCGTCTTACAACTCTTCATCGTTGAAGTGCGTGTCGTGCCCTTGTCTCCGGAGATGCCGAGAGTCCTCCAAGGCCCCTCGAGTTGAAGTGCAGCCTGACCCAGTTCTCACGCCCTACTCCCCACCCCTCCCTATTCACCGCCTATCCTCCAGGGGGGCGGAGAGCCCGGGGGCTGCGCGGACTCTCTTACGGGATTTCCAAGGGTCTTTCAACCCTGGGGGGAACCCCCCCTCATGCGCTCCTCGGGTCTTTGGAGCACCGTGGGCGAACCCAGACCCTTGCCATCTTGCAGCTAGACTTCCGCGCGGCGGCCTCCGCCTACCGTGACCCATGCGCGCACCTGAGTAACCGGGGACCGCCTAGATCCGCCGGGGCTCTTAGCAATTAAGGACGTTTCCCTTGAGAAAGGGATTTCTGAGCCTGCCTGAGCCTCTCCACTTTGCTCAGTCTAAAGTCGTCTCTGTCAATCAAACCCGAAGCGTGTACTGAGGATGGTGTGGGAGGGATGGAGCAGGAGTTCACCTGGACGCTTGAAAAACCAGAACCACCAGTCAGGGGCCCTGCAGCGTGCAGACTGCTCCCAGCCCAGGCGGCACAGGGAGGGATGATGCCCACCCCCACCCCACCACGGCGATGCCTCTGGCGAGGGCTGGGAAATACTATAGTCGGGGGAGGGGTAACTGATTCTCCTGTGTTTCTGCAAAAGGCCCCACTGGTGGAATCTCGGTAGAGCGCCTATCCTCACCTCACCTCCCTACCCACGTCCTTCCAGGATGCAAAAAAGCAAATAAAAAAGACTGCAATCACCGCTGTGTCTCGGGTTGACTCAGGAGGTGGAGTAGCGTCTCCCAGGGGGTTGGGATGGGGGTAGGAAGGGCCTTAAGGAATGGATCTGAACTCTGACCTGCCCAAGAACTCTGCAGCCCAGCAAGCAGGCATTTCCAAACCAACGTGTCACAAATGAGCAGTTAAGTCAGGCCTTCCCTCTGCCAAAGCAATTTCAGATCGTTAATCCTGGAGGAAGAAGGGACCTTGTATCCCCCACAGACATAGTGGGTCCAGGTTGTGTACCCCCACCCCCGGGGCACTATTGAGTCCTCACTTTGCACAATTCTCACACCAGGTTATCTCTCCCGAGAGGAGAAACCTAGAACTACGGGTTTGGTAGATCCTGACACCTTGTAGGAAATTCTAAGGATAATTGAGATAAAGTGCTACTTGGGTGAACCAGGTCTGCAGGGAAGTGGGGTATGGAATCCATTGAGCACCTGCTCGCTTCCTCCCACAGTATCATCCCTACAAGCCAGTCTTGGGCGGGGGGGGGGGGGTAGCTCTAGAGAGTTCTCTCTCTCTCTTAGTCCCACCCAGCTCGCCTGGTCTTGCCTCCTAGTTTCCATGACAACTCCAAGGGAGCCTAAACTGGGGGCTTGGATGCCAGGGTGAGAGGAGGAAAGAGGTGATCCTAGAGCAGAGTGGAGGGGGTGTCTGAAGCTGTTCCCCTCCCTCGGCTCAAAAAAAAGCCCCCCCCTCCCGCTCCCCCCCCGCCCCCCGCCACTGCCTTCATCTCTCCATCTCTGCGTCGCTGCCGGCTGCGCCATCCCGGACCCAGACTCCCGTGCCAGCCAGAGGCCCTCACTGCGGCTTCAGGGACACTGTCCCAGCCAGATCGCAAACATGTCATCGGAAAAGTCAGGTAAAAGAACAATAACAAAACCTCCCCCAGTCTCCATCATTTCCTGATCCCCCCCACACACTTGCCCTAGTCCCCTTCTTTAACCCTCCCTGGAGTGATCCGGTGGCTTAGTTCCATTCCCGTTCCCCCCCACTCGCATCCCCCCCCCCAACCTTCCTCTTTCTATATCCAACCCTCCGGTGTCTTTCCTGTGGCGGGTCTTGTCAACCACCTGGGCAGGGGGGTGGGGTAGACTTGAGGTGAGGGGGCACAGTCGGGTACTTCAAGGGAGTACTTTAAGGAATGAATCTGAACTGGGAGCGACAGATGGACGGTCACTGGCTCACTGGCAGAGAGACACCCAGTGGAAAAACATGGAGACATGATCAGATGGGGGTTGTCAGGGAAGTAAAATGTAGAAGACTTTTTTTTTTTTTTGAGACAGGCTCTCCCTATGTAGCGCACACTGGCCTTGAACTCCCCAATTCCTCATCTTCCTGCCTCTGCCTCCCAAGTGCCAGGATTATAATTACTTTTTTTTTACAGACCCTAAAAGAGGCCATGAGACACCCCCGCCCCCCCAGAGGTCAGGTTATGCCTTCCCACTGAAGGAAAGGCTTAGTGGAACGTGCCATCCTACATGTGTTTATACAAAAACTGAACTGAGCATGCATGAGCCGTGTGGCATGTCCACATGTGCAGGAAGAGGAGCAGCCCCGGAGGAGAGTCGATGGTTGATGGCTGTGGATGACGGCTGAGTGCACGCTAGGGAAGAGTTGTGACCTCAAAAGTAGCCTGGGGGAGGTGGCCTAGATACAACCCCTCTCCTGACCCCGAAATGAGAGGTGGCATCTCCGTCTGTCTCCTGCTTCTCCATCCTGACTGTCTGATGTCTCTCTTTCCCTCCTGATCTCTGTCTTCTCTCTCTCATCCTCCCTTTCGGACCCCAGGCCTTCCAGATTCAGTCCCCCATACCTCGCCGCCGCCCTACAATGCCCCCCAGCCCCCGGCCGAGCCCCCCGTGCCGCCCTCACAAGCGGCACCCTCTTCCCACCATCACCACCACCACCACTACCACCAGTCTGGCACCGCCACCCTCCCGCGCCTAGGGGCCGGTGGCCTGGCCTCGGCTGCGGGAGCCCAGCGCGGGCCCTCCTCGTCCGCCACGCTGCCGCGGCCCCCCCACCATGCCCCCCCCCGCCCCGCGGCCGGGGCCCCCCCACCTGGCTGCGCTACGTTGCCCCGCATGCCGCCCGACCCTTACCTGCAGGAGACGCGCTTCGAGGGCCCACTTCCACCTCCGCCGCCTGCCGCCGCCGCCCCGCCCCCGCCGGCGCCCGCCCCCACCGCCCAGGCTCCCGGCTTCGTGGTGCCCACGCACGCGGGGGCGGTGGGCACGCTGCCTCTGGGGGGCTACGTGGCACCGGGCTACCCCCTGCAGCTGCAGCCCTGCACTGCTTATGTGCCAGTCTACCCAGTGGGCACGGTGAGTGTGGGGCTGATGGAGGGCATCTAGGAGGAGGGGGGCAGGTGGGACCACACTGGAGACTGGGGGGCCTGGTGGGGGGCACCTAGGAGAAGGGGGCAGGTGGGACCACACTGGAGACTCCGGAAGAGCGAAAACCGGGCCAGGAAGCCTTAGGCAAAGAAGTGGAGAGGGGAGGGATTGTGGGTGAGAAGGCGATGGGTGGTGAACTGGGGGGGTCGGTGTCCTTGGGGTGTCATAAGTCAGGGCTTGGGAGGAGGATCAGCGGTCAAGAGCAGGTTTGAAAGCAGGAAACAGGGTGGAGGGAAGAGGAGAGATGAAACCTAGGTAGCAAGGGGTAGGAGGGGCAGAAGCCTGGGCCTGGAGGGGGCAGAAGTCTGGGCCTGGGGTAAGGGGCAGAAGTCTGGGGCATGAGGGCCAGAAGCCTGGACCTGGGAATGCCAGGCAGATGTCTAGAGAAACAAGATCTAAGTGCAGAACAGGCCCTAGGCGGTACTCCTAAGAGAACGTGGGCACTGTCAAGAACATGAGGGCAACTGACATAGTGAAGGAAGGAAGGAAGGCGAAGGCCGATTTGGGGTGTCTGGGAGGGTAGTGGGTCGTCGTCGTCGTCATCATCGTCGTCATCATCATTTTAAGAATCATGCTTTTACACACCTCTCTGCCAACTAGTCAAGTGGGGAGCATGGGAGTGACGTCCCTCTCCCCCACTTTCCTTCTCACAGCCCTACGCAGGAGGGACCCCTGGGGGGACCGGAGTGACCTCCACTCTCCCCCCACCGCCCCAGGGCCCCGGGCTGGCCCTGCTGGAGCCGAGACGCCCGCCTCACGACTACATGCCCATCGCAGTACTGACCACCATCTGCTGCTTCTGGCCCACGGGCATCATCGCCATCTTCAAGGCCGTGCAGGTGTGTGTTGGGGGGGTACTTAGTCCCAAGCACTCCGGGCATCCCCTTAGGGAGGCTGCGCCGGGCAAGCAATGGCTCTCTGACTCCCTCTCCTTCCCCCTACATCTCTCCCCGGGTAGGTGCGCACGGCCCTGGCCCGCGGAGACATGGTGTCCGCCGAGATCGCATCACGCGAGGCCCGGAACTTCTCCTTCATCTCCTTGGCCGTGGGCATCGCAGCCATGGTGCTGTGCACCATCCTGACCGTAGTCATCATCATCGCCGCGCAGCACCACGAGAATTACTGGGATCCCTAAAAACACCCCCAGCTCAACCCCACCGTGCGCCCCTCAACCTCCCAGGCGTGCTCCGCAGTCCCGCCGCGGACCCAAAGGGCGCCCTGCAAATCCTCCTAGAGCGCCCCGGACCTCCAGACATCCTAAACTTCGCCCCCGCGGAACCGGTATCCAGGTCCTCAGGAACCCCTCCAAAACCCACATCCCCAGAGGCACCGCTTCCAGGGTCACCCCGACTCCCACCCCATCAACGTGGAGCGCACTGGGTCTCCACCCAGCAGCCTGGAGTCAGGTCCCAGAGACCCCGCCCCCTCCTTAGGCCCCGCCCCAGCTCCCACAAAACCGAGTCTCCTTTACATCCCGGCGAGGAGATGCAGTCAGGTGATGGATGGGGTTTGCGGCTCCAGGCTCAGGCCACAAAGGGATGGACTCTTTCCCCTCCCCCCACAAAAAGACCGAGCCCTGGGCTAGCCACACCCCCACTGGGATTTTTGCCAGGGTGGTTCTTTCTGTCCACTGAGGTTTCAACCTGTTTTCTTGCTAATTACAGAACTTCCCCTTTTGTTGCTTATGGGATGAGATTTGGGAGTTTCTGGTTTAGTACCCTTCACCCTGGACCAGGAAACAAGTCCCACGCACTGTAAATACTCCTTTCTACCCGTCTCCACCCCTGGGCACCCGGCCAAAGGGAATCCTGGGTTCAAAAGACCACCCCAGTGTAGGGGAAGGAGCCGGCCGACCCCGCTCCCCTTGGCAGCCCCAGACCTGTTTTGATTTGTGTGTGCGTGTGTGTGACCCGAAAGACGTTATTAAAGAGATTTAGTGGATTTATCACCCACAATTCCAAAGACCAAAGCCCCAAAGAAAACCCTGTCCTTCGGTTCCCTTTTTAACTTCTCATTTTGTTTTCCTGGGGGGAGGGGGAGAGACAACCGCCGAAGGAGACAGTTTCCCATGCCACCAGGAAGACACACACTATGGGGAGCAGAGGGGTCCCTCTAGTCCTTAATGGTGCAGAAAACAAAACAAAACAGAGCCAGCCTCCCACACACCCTGTACACACCGTGGAGAAAGACCACGGCCTTGGGCCCCATTCTCCTGGGCTCCCTTTCCCAGGCCTGGTTTCTACTCCCTTCTACGCTGTATTTAGGGCTTTGTGGAGATCTACAAGACCCAGAGTTTGATCCCTAAACTCCAGGGAGGCGAGAAGAAGATGGTCAAGGGCAGGATGACAGGGCAGAAGAAAAACAATTGCCCACAGCTGTTCCTGGCCTTGGGCTGGAGGGTGGCAGACAACCAGGTCAGGCAAGGAGCAGACCACTGGGCAACACCAGGGAGGAGGTTAACAGCCTCTCTTCTCTCTGGGGGCTAACCTGGGGCTTTGAGAGGAGAGGGGGGACACACAGAGGGCTCGGTGTCATTCACTGTGCACCTGCAAGACAGGGTGCTACCCCAAATTGGTGCATTCATGAAGATGCCATTCGGGATGCTGGTGAGACATGCCCAGACCAACAGCCCAGACCAATGGTGTGACCTTGGCCTGGTAGAGCCATCTAGACAGAAAACCCTGCACTGGGTGTGCGCGGGGTGGGGGTAGGGTGTCTCAGGTATCATGGCTTCTCTTTGGGACACTTCAGGTCTAGCATGCCTTTCCTTTCAATGTTCTTGAAGAAACAATTTACATTTGCTACATACTTCCTCAGCCTCTAATTGCTTTTTTAAATGATTTTTTTTTGGTCTTTTTGAGACAGGGTCCTCCTGAAGCTCCAGCTGTCCTAGAACTCACTATGTAGACCAGGCTGGCCTTGAACTCACAGAGATCCACCTGCCTCTGCCTCTCGAGTGCCAAGATTCAAGGTGTGTGCACCCACCCAGCTTAAGTGCAAATGCCTTTAATCCCGGTACTCTCAGGAGGCAGGCAGCTCTTTGTGAGACTGAGGTCAGCCTGGTCTACAGGGAGGCCTTGTCTCCAAAAAAACTAAAAAAAATTTTAAATTATTTTTAAAATACGTGTGTGTGTGTGTGTGTGTGTGTGTGTGTGTGTATGTGTGTTCCTGAGTGTAGGTGCCCTCAGAGGCCAAAGGAGGGTGTCAGATTCCCTGGAACTGGAGTAGGTAGTCATGAGCCACTGGACATGGGTACTGGGAACTGAACTCAGGTCTTCTGCAAGAGCAGTAGACACACTTAACTTCTGAGGCATCTCTCCAGCCCCCTAATTGCTTTTTTTCTTGTGGGGGCCATTGTTTATTTTTTTGAAGCAGGGTCTCCCTGTAGCCCCAGCTGGCCTGGAACTTACTATGTAGACCAGGCTGACCTGGATCTCACAGAGATCTGCCTGCCCCTACCTCCCAAGTGCTGGGATTAAAGTAGTGGGTCACCACACCTGGCGGTATTGTTTGCTTCTTAAGTAGGAGAGTATTGCTGTTAGAGAAATGTCTGTGTACAGTTATTTAATTCATACCTACTCTGTCCTGACTCCTTGAAATTAACTTCCATTCCTTACACTTCCAAATTCGCTCTCAAATGGCCAGTGATCACATTGCACAAAATAAGTGACATTTTCACAATATTCTGCCTCTCTGAGTCCTCTTGTGCCTATCTTGGCTACGTCTGTCTTCTGGCCCACATCCTTTATTATTTATTTACTAGATTATTTTGGTTTTTTTCTTTTTTTTTGAGATAGTCTAGGCTGACCTTAAACTCACTGTGTAGCTGAAGGATGACCTTGAACTCCTGAAATTTCCCTCCTGAAATCTCAAACTGTAGATTACAAGGAACATACTAGCACACCCATGCTTTTCTCTTGACCCCGGATTCCCCTCCCCGCCAGGCTCAGGGATCTGTTATCTCTTCCCTAACTCCTCTATAAACAGGATAATCACTTCTGCTTTTTCTCCTCTTTCCCAAGTGTCAACCTCTGGGTTTCATCCTCCCCCCCACTTAGGCTGTGAAATCCTATCCATTCAATGCAGTCATCATATCTGTTTGTCTGACTGTGGGTATACCTGTCTCTGTTAAAACCCCACAGGTCCCGGGGCTGGAGAGCTGGCTCAGTGGTTGAGAGCAGTGGCTGCTCTTGCAGAGGTTCATTTCCCAACATCCACATGGTGGCTAACAACTGTCCTTAACTCCAGCTTCAGGGGATCCAACACACTCTTCTGGCCTCTGAGGGCATTGCACGACACAGGTGTACTTACATACATGCAGTTAAAGCATTCATGCACATAAATTTTACATAAAGTAAAAATTAAGGAGGCTGGAGAGATGGCTCAGCAAGAATGCTGGCTGTTCTTGCAAAAGACCTGGGTTCAAATCCCAGCACCCACATGGCGGTTAACAACTGTCCATAATTCCAGTTCCAGGGGATCCAATGCCTTCTTCTGTCCTCCCCAGGCACTGCATGACATGGGTGCACTTACACACATATAAGCAAAACACTCATACACATAAAATAAAAAATAAATGATTTTAAAAAAACTCAGGCTGTCTTCAAACTCTTAATCCTCCTGCCTCAGCCTCCCAAATTCTGGGATTACAGGTGTGGATGACCATGCCTAGAATTCCCTTTATTATTTTTAGTTCTGGGGAGTGAACCCAGATTGAACCCAACTTCTCACATGCTAAGAAAACACTCTACCACTGAGCCCTAACCCTCTTCTCAGACCCAACACCTCTCCAACTTCTACCTCACATGCAGACCTTCCCCGAGAGCAAAGGACTGCAACCAGCATGGACCTCGGACCACGGTACAGGATCTCTAAACCCTGCATATTCCAAACCAAAAGTGAAATGCCCACCACACCCTCCTCCCTTATCTCCTTTAATGGCCTTCCTTATCTGAAGACCAGCAACCTGCCTGTCCACACCTGTGGGTTTCATGGTGCGCTGTCCAGCTGAGTCAATTCTATAAGCACAGTGTGTTTTCTTGTAATTTTTCCCTCAGCCCTTGCCAGACACATTACCTCATCTAGGTTATTGCAACAGCTTCCCCCAGCAGGACTCCCAACTTCTACCTTTCCCTTCTCCAAGTCTCCCTCAACACTGTCAGATTATCCTCTCTAGATTGGGTTCTTATGTAAGTCCACAGCTCAAAAGTTGTTGAAAAGCCAGTCAAGATGCCCCGGAGGCTGAGGTGGGAAGTTTGTTTGAGCCCAGGAGTTCAGCATCCCCACCTCTGTATTGTGGGGTGGGGGTTGTTAACCCAAGACCCCACGCCCTCATGCATGCTAGGCAAGCGATCTGCCACACACGGCCACAGCCCCAGCCAAAGACCCTGCCTTTAAAAAAGAAAACAAGGGCTGGAGATAGGGGCTCAGCACTAAGGCACTGACTGCCCTTACAGAGGGCCAAGTTTCAATTCCCAGCACCCACATGAGAACAGTGCTAACCACAGTTCAACACCCTCTTTTTTTTTTTTTTTCTTTCCCTTGAGACAGGCTCTCCCTGTAGCCCCAGCTGGCCTGGAATTCGCTATGTAGACCAGGCTGGCCTCAAACTCACAGAGATCTGCCTGCCTCTGCCTCCCGAGTGCTGGGATTAAAGGTGCACACCCGGCGGGAACCTATATTTTATAAAAGCCAAATGCAATGGTTCACATCTGTAATCCCAGGACTCTGTGATGTGGGAGGTAGAGACAGATGAGTCACCTAGAAGTTTATGGGCCTGCTAGCCAAGAGTATGCAGCCCAGCAGAAACCAGGGAGATCTGCTTCTGCAAGGTGGAAGGGGAGAACTGACTCATGGAAGGTGCAACACACACGCGCACACACACATACATACACGCACACACATGCACACACACACACACACACACACACATTTTTTTAAGGCCTGTCTGGGTTATAGAGCAAGTTCAAAGCCAGGCTGATGGTGTACAGCTTAATTCCCAGCACTCCAGAGGTGGAGGCAGGAGGATCTCTGTGAGTTTGAGGCCAGCCTGCTCTACATGACAAGATCCAGACCAGTCAAGACTATGCAAGACTTTGTCTTAAAACAAAAAGCAAAAACAACCAACAGAGGTTACTGGGTGGTGCTGGGCCTATAGTTCATTCTAGAATGCCCAAGGCCCTAAGTTTAATCCTCACTCTGGAGGAGGGGACAGCATTTTTTAAATCCCAAAGCTCAGGTAGCATTCTTGGCCAATTAAATCAGATACTGTGGGGGTGGGACTCAGGCATCAATATTTTTATAGCCCCAAATGATTTCAAAGAGCGAGCACCCAAGGGTGAGAATCACAGGTATTGAGTCATTTCAGGAACCACCAGAGAAGGGAGAGGCCAAAAAATGGCTTCAGCCAGTACAACCTTCTTTAGGAAA